ACCCCCACCCCCACAAAAAAAAAACATCGCCATAAAGTTGGTTTTGTATAATAAAAGTATGCTCACCTCACTTAAAGCTTCACAGATAATGGAAGTAACAGTTTCCCTGTAAGAAACTGCTTTCCTCAAGCGCTTTCCTCGACCAAGAGCTTCTTCTTCCTCAAGTTGATATTTTTCCCACCTAAAATTCAAAAAAATAATAATGAGTTATCAATCAAAATCCCTTAGATAACCTAAATGAAAATTTTGTTAAAAGTAACATTAATGAACGTAACATGCCAAGCATATAGATGTTTCAGAAATTTTCATATATTAGACTATATTCACTGAAAAATACTGCTCATTAAACATAAATAATAAGGATAAATAAATGAAATAGAGGAAGGCATTTCACAAATAAGTTCAATGAAACTCCCGTGATTTTTCAAAGAATCGAGTTTGCTCTTGCAGGTCATCAGAAAGAATGATTGTTCTGTTTCTAGGACTAGTCTCCCATTGAGATGGTTGATGGTTTTAAAATTTACTAGTCATAGCTACTCAACTATTGGCTTAAGATTTTTGGTCGAAAATAAATCTCTGTACTTTGTGTCAAGCCCAGTAGTTGTATACCCACAACTTCATACACTAGTGGCCCAAAACTCCTCTACAAGCAGTAAAATTGCCATGGTTCTAGTAGGCCCAACTACCATTGCAATTTTGCTGTCACAACAGTATGCAAGCTCAACCATATCGCAAGTTGGTGCCATAGCAAGTAAACTCTTTAGTGTCTGTTGTATATGAACTCGACTGACTCAAAAAATATCTAATAGAAGGGGTACTGGTGGATGAACAGGATAACTCTCATATAAAATGGAGGTCCCACAGAAGTATAATAAATTTAGGTTTTACAAAATATGCTTTCGATATATTAACTTTTTTCAATCTATTATCTTATGATTGGGTGTTGAATGGGTCTACAGCTTGTTGTATTGAGGCCTACTTGCACCCAAAGTGATTCACCCTCCAGGGCAAGTTTTGGGCAAAGTTTCTGAAGAATACCAAAACAATGCTTAAGATTTACTTCAGCTCAAGCTTATCCTAAAAGCTCCGCACATAGGTTAGTCTCCATGGCATCTGTTGAGAATTTTCTGAGTAAAAATCAAAATGTATTTCCCCCTTTTTTTAAACTAGATATTAGAAGAAAATTTTATAATCCTATGGCCGGATTAACGTAATCACCAGAATATATAAATGATGGTAGCTCAGTTGACAAAATATAAATAAAGCAATTTAGCAAAAAAACGGAGTATCCATCGTCCACTCAGCAATATATATTTACACTAGTTTTCGACAGTAAAATCATGCAGTCCATTCACGAAGCACGGTTAAAATACCTTCCAGTAAAGAAAAAAAAAAAAAAGATGCCAGTTGACAAGCCTTCATAACAAGAAGTGAGACTTCGCTTGCTTGGTAGCCAAATAACATTGGGGGAGTGTCAGTAAAAATATTAAAGAATAAAAAAGTGGAAGAAAGAAGATAATGTACGAACACTAAAGTACCCCATTTAAGAGAATCAAAAGTATTACCAGATTAATCTCATGATGTAGGAAATAACTAAAGAAGCCTTAAAGGACCCTCGTTGAGAAAACCAAATGTAACTATCCGTTAACATCACCACCATTAGTGTCCATTGCATGCCAAAAAGTAATGCAAGACTGGAACATAAAATTCATAGGAAGCTATATCTGCTTTATTTCATTTATTATAGTTTAAAATTAAAGAAAGACAGGAGGGAACAAGACCACGAAAAAAAAAAACTCCTACTTAGTGGTATCTAGTATCAATTTATCACCTGTCACGTAAAAGCCTGTCCCATTTATTTTCCTCTGAGACAGTGTTTGTATCATCTTCCTGGGTCACATATGGCTCACCGCCATCACCAGAAAGATCAGCTATCATCTCAGTTCCACCAGGTTCTTCATTTAGCTGCTCATCGCTCCAATCCAAAGACTAGAAAAAAAATGAATCGACCTTATTAAACTAGAAAAGGATTGAATGATACTTTCTGATCAAAAAGAAAATATGCACCAATAGTTGAATGACAATGATAGTGGAAATAGGAATAAATTCAAAGATTACAAGCACAATATTATCTGCTTACGCTGACTCCCAATTTGACTAATCAAAATAAAAATCGAACAAAAAAGTTCAAGGCAATTCCAAGTAAATGTTAAAAAGCTACAAGTTGATACATAAAGATATGAATTTTGACATCACTGTATTCAGGTTTGGATTTCGATTCAAATCTCCCATCAGATGATGTACTGTTTAAAAATGAATAAAGTAATCATTTTCTAAAACAATTGCAAGTTGAATTTGAGAATTTTCTATACTTACAAAGTTCTTCTAGGTCCAATAAAAAAATTATTTACAAAAATTATTATCCCTTTGTTACACCACACTAGTATACAATGTAAGTCCACGACAACTATTGCTCTTAATTTTAAGCCCATTAATATCTATGTTTCTATACAGATCTGACATAATGCAAATATTAAACCATCCATCCACGCCCGTTTCATTCGATGTTGTAAATAAAATGAAGATGAAATGCTACTTGATTCTATTGTTATGAAATGCTGAAATTTTGAATTACATATAGCTCATGTGATGTGGGCCATGGCTACGTTCTTTATGTTAGTTTATTTATTACTATAGAAACTGGATGCACCAATGCATAAAGAAGCATAATGAATTTTTCAAGACGCATAAGATGGAGAGGAATTGCTACATAAATCAAAATGAGGCAAGTATGAACTTGGTACAGTCAGAACAATATTGATCCAAGAGTAGATTAGCTTTGAGATGAACCTTAAGCCAACCCAACAAATCATGAAGATAGAAAACAGAAACAACTGCATCTTTTAAAACATCCAACTAAACCAGAATTAAAAAAAAAAAAGTAAACATAGCCCTGGCCCATATCAAAGGAATTGCAAAGAAGGCTTAAAAGCACAGAAAATTTCAATGCCACGGTCAGAGTGGAGGGAAAAATGCATACTACTTTTAAGGTATTGAAGAAGTAATAATGAGTTTTTTCAGTTCATTAGCAGAAGCTGGGAGATATTAGAATAAAGTTCCAAACACCAGCATTCAAAATATGCATGAAAATTAAATATCAATCTACAGAACAATCTCACAAAACCAATAAACAAAACAAGGTAACATAATAAAACTTGAAAATATTTTTTTAGTAAAAACTAATTTTTCATTAGAATATAATTAAAAAATGTCAACATAGCATTTATGAAATTTTTGGAAAGATAAGGTATCAACTTGGATAACTACTTATATAATTATATTAATAGCCTTGGGAAAAGAAGCTGCAAAAATTATGGAGTAAATTACATGCACCTTAAGAAAAAACAATGAAGGATAATAAAAAATATGTTATCAAACAATGTTCAATGAATGAAGAATGTCATGAAATAATGAAACAAGCAACCACATGCAAGGACTCACTTTCACAGAACCAAGCAAGTCGCCATCAAAATCACCATCAGTGTTCTCTGATACACTTGTTTGAAGGTCAGAACGATCAAGTAATTTTGATATCGCACTTTCATCCCACAAAATTTTCATGCCACCATCAGTGCACCTGTCCTTGTAAACATCTCCCAAGCCACCAATTCTTCTTCTATGCTTGTGCATTAAATATGCATTATTATCGACTTTGCTAATAGAATTATCGTTAGCATCTTGACCATTTACACCATCAAAATCACCAAAAAGTTCCTCTGTTCCCCAGCGAAGAATGTCTTCCACTTCCTTTTGAGATCCCGACTTGTTCACAAATAGTTGATCAAGCATCAATTTCTTCTTAGCAAGTTGCAGTATTCTCTCCTCAACGCTAGCTCGAACTACAAGCCTGTAAACAAGTAGCCTTTTTGACTGCCCAATTCTATGAGCTCTATTCATTGCCTGTATATCAGCATGAGGATTGAAATCAGAATCATATATAATAACAGTGTCTGCAGTAGCCAAATTTATCCCAAGTCCACAAGAACGAGTTGACAATAGGAACACAAAACGAGTTTTATTGTTGTTGAAACGAGCAATTGCCGCTTGACGATCTGTGACTGATACTGAGCCATCTACTCGTTCAAATGTTCCATGACCAAACTCTACAGTAAGGTAATCTTCAAGTATATCAAGAAGTTTGGTCATCTGTGAAAAGATAAGCACACGATGCCCATCCTTATGTAGAATTTTGAGCATTGAATGCAACAAAGTAAGTTTTCCTGATGCTTTTATGCGCATCTCCTGTAGGAACTCTACAGAACCAGTGTCTGGTTCTGTTCCAGGAATGAGATATGGATGATTGCAAACCTTGCGTAGCTGCATAACAATGTTTAGCATTGACTGCTGAGCAACCCCTTTCCCAATGTTACGTAATATTTGATAATTCTTGGTTAGCATTGCGCGGTAGTACTCAGCCTGTATCGATGTCAACTCAACAGGAACCATCCTCTCAGTTTTAGGAGGGATGTTCAACATAGCATCTTTTTTAAGTCTCCGGAGCATATGAGGCGCAACGAGCTTTTTCAACTCTTCAACTCTTTCAGCTGTCGGAAGGTCACTGAACTTCTCTTCAAAAGCAGAGAGAGAGGGGAATGAGACAGGCTGTAAAAAGTTCAGTAAATTATACATCTCCCCAATGTTATTCTGTAAAGGAGTTCCAGTCAATAGGACACGGTGTTGGAAAGAAAATGAATTAAGCAGGCCAAAAAGTTTACTTCCAGAATTTTTCAGCCGATGGCCCTCATCAACAATAAGAAGCTCCCATGTAACTCCACGTAGATGACATGAGTCGGCAAGAATCATCTCATAAGTTGTCAGCAAAACATTAAATTTATATGATTTAGTCCTCTTATGAGACTTATCTGGAACAACAGCATGCCACTCATGTAGCCTTATTATGGATCTTGCTTTTGCACAGCCATGATACTCCACGACATTCAAATGTGGAGCCCATGATGAAAATTCTGCTAGCCAATTTGGCATTGTGGAGAGAGGAACTAAGACAAGGCAAGGTGACTTAACTTTAAATTCAAAAAATAACGATGAAATGAAAGAACAAGCAGACACTGTTTTGCCAAGCCCCATTTCATCAGCAAGAATAACATTTTTTGACTTGTGCCAACATCTACGAAGCCAATTTAAAGCCTCTAACTGATGCGGAAATAATAATCCTCCTTTTAGCTCTTTTGGTTGCTCTGGCAATGAAATTACTTCCTGGATTTCCCTTTTGACAATTTCATTTCTAACATCGTTGTCTAAAGCCTGAGTTTCAAACTGTTTGAACTGAGAAATAAGATGGCAAGAAGTTTGAACTAAATTGTCATCTAATTTTTCCCAGGTGCATTCATCGTAAGGGAGGCCACACCATTTAACTAAAGCTTCTCCGCCAGTAGCAGATTCACGTAAAGAAATAATACGCTGTGGCCGACACCATTGATCTTCACATATATTTATGATAGCAGTTCCGTACTTCGCTTTATAATTCTCCAATTTTCTCTTAGCTAAAAGCTTCAACTGATTTTCAGACACCCAGCAGTTATGTATGTTTGATTTACCTACCCACTTTACCAAAAATTCATAAATAACAGCGTCATTTTCGCCAGGCCTCAAGTCCGATACTGGTTGATTCAGCATAACATTTTCAACACTCTGATCTGATTTAGAAACCACACCCATCAAATGGATACCCTGTGGCTCACAAGTAACTGGCAAGTCAGTGACTAAAGTATGCTGATCAATGCAATTTTCTGAAAGATATTTTACAACTATGCCCCCTTCTGAACCATTTTTAGCAGCTCGTTCTTCAATTACATCACCAGTAACATGGACCTTAGGAAAGTTAATCACATTGCTAGTCGTACAATTAGCCATGGAAGGCTGTGAAACAATGATTTTGGCGCTACGAATGTGCTCACAAGTAGTAAATACTTTTCCCTTAACATTTGCATCCAACTCATTGGAGCTATCCCCAAAAATTTTTCGAGCATATGGATTTGCAACGCCTTGATGATTCTTATCCAGAGCAGATTCCGAATCCTTGATGTACTTGGCTCTACTATCCTCACAACAATCATCAAATTGGTCTTGATTTCCTTGGCTAGATAAATTAGAAAATGGTAGTTCGCTTTTCAGCATTTCTGTTTCACATTCTTCTTGTTTTTCTGTTTGAGAAGTGGTAATTGCATTTGTCCGATCAACTTGTGAAGAACAACTTTGAACACGACACCCTAAAATGCGGTCAACCTTTCCAAACAAAAGAAAGAATGTAACTTTACTGCATTGACATGTAATCATAAAAGGCAGCTATCTTTAAATCATCATTCAATTTAGAAAATTCTTTATAAAATGGAGCGGATTTACCTGTTGAACTTCACTAGAAGAATTCTCCTTACTATTCAGTTTCTTCTCAACATATTCTCCAGTTCCAACGTCAAGTGATAAAGATGATTTTACGTGAGAGGTCTGCATGATGAGCACAAGTAAACAATTAACTATATCAGCGTCATAAAAAAAAAAAAAAACTGCATATATTAATTAATAAGAAACTGCTCAAAGATTAACTATATCAGCGTCATATAAAAAAAAAAAAAAACTGCATATATTAATTAATAAGAAACTGCTCAAAGCAGTAGTGAACGTAATCCCAATAATGCCTCGATATCATGAATAAAAACGGTCCCTATTTTTCCAATGACGTATAAAATTATTTTCATAGCTAGTTGAGACAATAGCTTAAAGATCAAAAGAAATTGTGAATTCCATGAATGCATTCATGAATACATAATAAATCAAAAAGCCAGCATATATTTGTGATGCGGGGTGTGCAGGCTCGGTTCCTTCTTCTTTAAAAAATTTCATTATTTCCTATCAAGTCCTTTCCTATAAAAGTATTGTATTAGAGTTTAAATTTCAATTTTTAGCGTGAGTTTGTTTAAGACAGTCGTTGGCGCCTGTTTTCTCCATTCAATGGTTGTATCTGAGAGTTTAGGAGGTGCTCTGGTTGTATCTCTATCCTGAGGTGGTGATTATCTTCCCTATCCGCTTCCACATCCTCCCCACGTCACTCTCGGTCTCCATATCTTGCGGCAGCTGCATGCAACAGCATTCTAGTTGCTGTTTTCTGCAGTTTCAGCAGCCACCATCGCCTTCCCCTCCCTCCTCTTCGCCCTCCCGCATCGATTTTGGCAGCTTGTTTGTTGTCTGGAACCTGGGAAACAATCTCGAAGTTGTTTCTACTTGTCAACCACCCTTTTCCACCACCTGCCACCTTCCAGTCCCTCACCGAACACCACAACCCCACTTGTGATACAATCCCAATTATGTTTGTGTTGTCTGTTGTTATTTATATTTCTGTTTATTTGATTGTACTTCTCTAATTCTAAATTCAGCAATAATATTTTGTTTTTCTTATCATTGATTGGGTTAGCTCCGATATTATTTGATATCCGAGCTAGCCTAACCCTAATCCTATCCTAGGGTTTCTAGCATCCCCAATACTCAACACCCCATCTCCACACAAAATTCCTTCCCTTTGCTGAATTTTCAAAGCAGCCAACAAAAAATTTTCGTTCACAGCCTATATAATTCCTATACACCCTCTTTCACCTACCTAAACCCAAACCTTAACCACACCGCCGAAGAGACAATTGTCAGAACTTAATCAGAATTTTCTATGGATGACATACAATGGGTACCCTGCCAAGTGCTACAACGGCTCGATATCGTTGACAAAAGTACAAAGGGCGGGAGTGCCACCGAAAAGGCTTGGTTTCCTTTTTCTCTACAAATTTCATTCTTTCCTTTCATTCATTTCTAGTCATTTCTTATATATGTGTTTTATTTGGGATTAGATTTCAGTTTTTGGCATTAATTTATTTAGGCAGCCACTGACATTCGTTTTCTCCCTTCAAGGGCTTTTTCCAAGAGTTTGGAGGGTGACGCGCTGGTACATCTCTCCCGAGATGATGATTATCTTCCATATAACCTTCCACATCCTTGTCATGTCACTCTCGGTCTTCGTATCTCGTTGTAGTCGCCCGCAGCTAGGGATGTCATAACACCTTGTCATTTGCGAACAGCTCGTGCTCGGCTCAATAAGTAGCTCTTGTTAGATTCTTTCGTTAAGTAAACGAGTCGAACACGAATAATATTTTTTATTTCAATTTATAAACAAGTCGAATACAGATAAGTTTGTTCTTGTGTTTGTTCGTGTTCGTCTCATTCTAGCTTGAAATAATTAAATAATTAATAATTAATGTATAAAAATTAAAATTATGCTATCGATGATTTAATATCAAAATTTTAATTTTTATAAATATAAGAAATAAAATTTAGATGTCAGAAATATAAATACATAAGATTTGGGTGGTATGCATATAAATGTTCCCAACGTTTTTCTAAAATCGGCTTTGCCTAGGTGTATTTTGTGCATTTAGGTGTTCGGTATGTAAATACATAAGAATTAGCTGGTATATGTGTAAACACCCATAGATTTCCTTTCTAGAATCCCGTCTCTCGCCCTCTCGCCCCCACCAACGGACCCACCCTGCAAGCCTGCACTTAAAATTTAAGAAAAAAAAACTGCATGTGGTTTACAGGTCTCCCATTATGGAGTTGTGGCTTGGCTGCATGCGGAGACGCATGCGTAAATGTGTAATCCCACACTCTAGAGTTTAGTCCCGCAGCGGGAAGGCTGAAGAGAAGGTGTGAGAAAAACGCTATAAAAGCAGAAGCTAAACCTTTCCTTCACATTCTAAAGAAAAATATACATACCTGATCCGGGACATTGAAGAAAATATTTCTTAAATATTCCATTATAAATGTAAAAATGAAAGATAGGAAATAAAAAACTTTCAGCTTTGCATGTTTGTGATACCTACGAAGCCTCTGAAAATGTTTAAAAATAAATAATAATTTTTGAAATTTAATTCAAGCTCAAACACGAGCTTAAATCAAAAAAATGAGTTTGAATTGAGCCGAGCACGAATAGACTACTCACGAGCTATTTAGAGCACGAGCCGAACATTAAGAAAAAAATTAATGAGACGAACACGAACAAGCCTTGGGCTCGTTCAAGCTCAGCTCGTTTACACTCCTACACGTAGCATCATTCCGATTGTTCTTTTTTGCAATTCCAGTCGCCGCCATCGCCTTCCCCTCCCTCATCTTCGCTGCCATTGCAGTATCAGCCCTCCACGTTCGCTGTCGCAACTTTTCCCTCTCTCGCCTCACTATTTCAACTGTCATCCAGCTATCAGTATCGCTGATGCTTTTCTTGCTGTCCCGACGCCCCCTACACACTGCCGCTACCTGAAACCCACTCTAGCTGCTGTTATACTTCATCCCAACTCCCCCGGGCAGCCGTCCACTGCTGTTCCTGCCTCCCCAGCCGCTCCTCCCCTTCCCCTTTGCTGCCACCAACCCCACATCACCCGCTCCTTGGCTGTTGCCAATCTACACAGCCCCTCTGCATCGATTCTGACAGCTTGTTTCCTGTCCGAAAACTGGGAAACAGTCTCATCGCTCTTTATGCTTGCCAACCACCCTTTTCCACCACCTACCACCTTTCAGACCCTCACTGACCACCATCACCCCCCTTGGGGTACAATCCTAATTGTGTTTCGTTGTGTGTGTTGCTATTTATATTTCCATTTAAGTAATTGTACTTCTCTATTTCTGAATTCAGTCATGTAGTGTCAAGCAGCCACAGAAAACAGTGGTTTACATGTTCTGCCGTTTTGTTGACGTTAAAAACTTTGAATGTGCGTATAGAGTAAGCAAAATTCTACCAATGCTTTGCTTATAAATAAAGGGGGTAAAGGATAAAAACAAAAACAAAAAAAAGGACTCACAGTGATTGGAGGAAAGAAAGGGAAATAATTGGGATATTTAATAACACTAACAAACTGAAAGTAAAGGAATTAATGGAGGTTATAAGAAACTGTTCCATATGCTAAAACAGTATGAGTTGCAGGATGAAAGCAACCTCCAATTGTTCTTTCCTCGGAGAGCTCAGCAATCTTGTTTCCTGCTTTGCCTCATTGGATTCATTAGATTCAGGACAAGGAGAACCATCCCCATATTGGTCATTGGAATTATATCCAGCACGTTTTACATTGTTAGATTTAGTTCTCTTATTCTTGTCAGCCCTGTAATTCATTTTCCTACTTTTCTTTGATATGCAAGAAGATAGAGCCACTGAAAGATCAAGCTTATTGTCTTGATTTTCATTTATGTATTCATCTGATCTCTCTTTGGATAACTTGTCACTGACACTGAATTTTAACGATTTTACAAGAGAACTAATTGTCTTGTGTTCATTTATATTCTTCCGTGGAAGTGAGACAGCTTTTTTCTTTGTTTCACTATCTTCTGTTGTTGATATCCCGGCCGTCAAAGTACTGTCACCGGAAGGCTTTGATTTCATGCTAGATGACTTAGAACGGCATGAACTAGCTTTCTTCGTAAATGCTGTACTTCCATTTAAGAAAGTATCATCCCCTTGGCTACTTGATTTATTCATTCCTAGAGAACCCTTTTTGGAATGTGATACCTTGTCGTGACTAGAGCTACTAAGCATATCTTTTGCTTTCTGAAGCGTGTTTCTACTTCTTACCCGTCTTGTAACGGTTTGTAGGGCAATCGATTTTGAATCCTCTGTTTGAGAACAACATTTTGAGCATTGCCACTTCCCTGCCGGAGCATGCTTGCAAAAATTAAAAATCACCAAAAGAGAAAAGTCAGCACCTAAAGAACAAAAGAATAATTCAAAAAAATGAAAAAATAAAAATAAAACTATATGAAAAGCAAAAAGATAAGTAATCAAACAATACCTTAAGTGGTGGGCTAAGGCAATCGAGATGGTAGGAAAGGGAACAACTATCACAACATAGCAAATTTCCACCAACTTTGCACTCTTCACACTCAAAATAATGCTGCAGAAAGGAAAGAGACACGGTTTGAGGACAAAAAGATCAACACAAAGGTGGCGCTATAGTTATATCATATTTAGGAAAAACACAAGAAAATTCTACAGCCATCGTTTGACAATGTAAAGAAGACAAAACAACAGTAAAAACAGCTGAATATCTGTCTTGGGGGTCAACTCTCAGAAAACTATGATTGGATAAGACAATACTATGGAAAAATTATTAAATCTAACCATAAAATGACCCCAAAAAATTAAAGGTTAAGTTTTCAATTTTGCTTCTTCCAAAAAAAAAAAAGGACAACAAGACATTTCAATTTGAACAAATAACATTAACAACATTAAAAACAGGGGATAAACAACAGGGGATAAGCAATTGGAATAGTATAGTTGCATCTTGAAGTTGTGGAGAATAACTTAATACAAATTATCGTAACACTCACCATAGTGACAATAGCGACACTTATAATAGCAATAGTTGGTTATGTTATTTACTAAAAACTATGATAGAAATAATAAAATCAATAAAATAAAATTAATGATAATTTAAGAACTACTTCGTCAATAAGACACTACTATTTCAAAGTCACGATGAAAGAGAATTTCAATTGACCATAATGAAGAGCCTTGTCATAAAGCTCCACTCAACAAAAAGTTGTTATCATTAACCGTCGTCAGAATTAGGCCCTACATCTGCATATCATTGCATCATGAAAAACCTATAAGAATTAGCCATATGTTAAGACTTTCTATCTAGCACTCAAAAACTAAGTATTTTGGGTCTCAATCATCTGCCATCATCCATATCAAAAGAAACAAGAAGGATAATTTTCTCTATTACATAAACTTCTTCCTGACTGCCATAAATGAGAATATGCTATAATTGGTATGTTCAACATAAACTAAGTTCAATAACCTAAATTAATATAAGAGGATTCTAAAGGTCACAAGTACAAATAACGAGATCAGATTCTATAATGTTTCGATAAGGCCAGGCAATCAACTTTTCACTAGGATCCACTGTAATATTATTCTTTTTTGGCAACGAATTGAATCTTTAACACTCACTTCGCGATCAAAGGCAACATCACTTAACAAGTAGTTGGTGGCAGTATGCTTTTTATCATGACGCAATATTCCTCTTCATTTTTTCACCCTTCAGCTTTTGTGGAATTCATAAGACAAGTTTACTTCTTCAAAATGTTTTTTATAATTTTGATTACATAATTAACTAAAAATTTTCATGGCTAGATGTTCAATTCAACTAAGAAGAATTGATTATGTATATTTTCATTAAATGATCATTGACAATATAATCAAAATTCCTCCAGTGAATTTTCATGTTCGATTATATTTCTTTTGGTCAAAATGCTCTGTTTTTGTTTTTTGTTTTTTTTTAAACTGCCATATAGCCATTTCGACTTCCCTCTCTAGATTAAAATGCAAGGAATTTATGTCATTGTGTTTTTCTTAAAATGTTTCATTTTTCAAACACTCATTGAGTAACTCCTCAAAATATTGTTTTCATCTTTCTTTAATGTCTCCGCTCCTAAAATCCTAAAAACTCAATATTTAAAAAATAAAATTGTATAAATGAGAGACTACTTACATACTAGATCGTGACCCTCCAGGACTGTTGGTTAATGTTGAGACCAGGTTCATCGAATTTAATTAGCTTTTTAATGAAGTATCTCACCTACCGCTTACCTACCACATCCCACCTACCGCTCACCTACCTCTCACCTACCGCTCTCATGGTTTCTATAAATAGTCTCTTTTGATTTAAAGAAAATGCAAACCAAGCAAGGCCAAGCCAAGTCATCTTGAGAGCTAAGAGAAAGAGAGGAAGAGAGACAGAGAGAGGAAGGGGGAGAAGAAAATAGAGATTTTTTTGTAAACATCGATGCGCTCGACGGTGTAATTCCTCAAAAAAATAAATTCTCTGCAGCTCTGTGGATGTAAGCAAATTTGTCGAATCATGTAAATCTATGTGTCGTTTTGGTGTTTTTTCTGCGTGTAATTTTTCTCGTTCCATTTTTCACTTTATTGTCGTTGTTTTTTCACAACAACTGGTATCAGAGCCTTGGGTTTGAATCTAAGAAAGAACGATGGACGGAGACGAAGTGATGACATCGGAGATTGAGAAGTTCAATGGCATAGATTTTATTTACTTGAGGATGCAGATAGATGACTACTTCTATGGGAAACTACTTGCAGATAGATGACTACTTCTATGGGAAGAAACTTCATCTTTCGTTATTGGGAAAGCGACCAGAAAAGATGGACGAGGTGGAATGGAATTTGTTTAATCGACAGGTTCTAGGGGTTATACGATTAGCCCTGTCGAGATCGGTTGCCCACAACGTCATCAAGAAGAGGACTACTGCAGATCTCATGACGAGTTTATCAGGTATGTATGAAAAGCCATCGGCGAATAACAAGGTGCATTTGATGAAAAAATTATTCAACTTGTAGATGGTAAAATGTGTCTCTGTTGCTCAATAACTGAATGATTTCAATACTATCACAAATCAACTGTCGTCTATTGAAATTGATTTTGATGATGAGATACGTGCACTGATATTGTTGATTTCATTGCTAAATAGTTAGGAAGCCATGATGATGGCAATTAACAGTTCTGCAGGTAAATCTAAGCTGAAATATGATGATATTCGTGATTTAATTTTGGCTGAGGAGGTGCGCAGGAAAGATTCTAACGAGACCTCGGATTTGATTTCGGCACTAATTGTTGATTCCAGAGAGAGATTACATGACAATAACAAAAACAGAGAAAGATCAAAATCAAAATTTGGTCAGCAGACAACCTGTTGAAATTGTGGCAAGACTAGCCACATAAAAATAAACTGCAAGAATCCTAAAAAGAAGGAAAATGATGGCGCTAATGTTGTAACTGAAGAAATACATGATGCATTATTGCTGACAGTTCACAGTTCTGTTGATGACTTGATACTGGATTCAGGAGCTTCCTTCCATACATCTTCCCGCTTGAAGTTTATGTGAAATTATGTTGCAGGTAACTTTGGGAAGGTACATCTGGCTGATGAAAAAGCTCTGGACGTAGTGAGGATGGGAGACATTAATATTACACTCCTTAATAAAAGCAAATAAACATTGCAAAAGGTCAGACACGTTCCTGAGTTAAAGAAAAACCTCATCTCTGTTGGGCAACTCAATGAGGGTGATCATTCAGTGGTGTTCTCAGATAGCACCTGGAAGGTTATCAAATGAGCATTAGTAATGACTCAAAGTAAGAAAACTAACACACTATATATGACTACAGGTTTACTCAAGCGTGGACACATGAGTCAGAGGTGCATTATGGGGAAGCAGAAGAATGACCATTTCCTGAAAAGTGACAGAGCACCAAATGCAGGAAAATTATACCTTGTACAGACAAATGGTGGAGAAACACAGAGTTATAAAGAAATCTTACAAGATAAAAATTTGAGCAAGTGGGAGCTGACCAAGAAGGAGGTGACAGATTCCCTACCAGGGAATCAGACTTGTGGCAGAACTTCCACCAAATAATAAGGCATTGCATAACAAGTTTGTGTGTCAGGTGAAGACTGTGTTTGGTGGTAGTAAGAGGTACAAGAGAGGTACAAGGGAGGTACAAGGCTGAACTTGTTAAAAAGGGCTTTCAGCAGGGGCAGGATATTGCTCATGCAGTAGGAGTTGTAAGCAGATACAAGAGTAACCCAGGAAGAGCTTGGTGATACGAGGCTACGTTGACGGTGATATGTCAACTGAGGGTGTTACTCGTGAGAAGCTGAAGTTATGCTCAACTTCAGCTAGTCTTCTAGCATGAAAACAGGAGCTTCGAGTTGCAGAGGTGGAGGATATCATGTTTGAGGAAAAGGTCGGTACAGCTAGTAGATGATGTGGCTAGTAGGTGATGCATTCAGTGTCCCAGTCTCTAAGTGGGAGAATTGTTGGGTAATGTGGAGACCCTGTCCACTGAATTTAATTAGTTTCTTAATTAAGTATCTCACCTACCACTCACCTACCACACCCACCTACCGTTCACCTACCACATCCCACCTACCGCTCACCTACCTCCCACCTACCGCTCTTATGGTTTCTACAGATAGTCTCTTTTGATTTAAAAGAAATGTAAGCCAAGCAAGGCCAAGCCAAGTCATCTTGAGAGCTAAGAGAAAGAGAGGAAGAGAGAGAGAGGAAGGTGAAGAAAAAAATAGATATTTTCTTGTAAACGTCGAGACGCTCGACGGTGTAGTGTAATTTCGGTGTAATTTCTCGAAGAAATAAATCCTCTGCAGCTTCGTGGACGTAGGCAAATTTGTCGAACCACGTAAATCTGTGTGTCGCTTCGGTGTTTTTTCTGCATGCAATTTTTCTCGTTCAATTTTTCACTTTATTGTCGTCATTTTTTCACAACACAGGACAACAATGAGGAACCACCAAACTAAGAAATTCTTTGGGATAGTTGACAACTGGGGTCGAAGAACTTAAAAGAAAGCTTGAGAATGTCAAAGCTTTAACAGAAATTATTTCACCAAGAATCATATTTTTCACTTGTTGTTCCCCTAGGAATTGTCATCAAACCTATAAGAATGAATCTATGCAACAGTTCTCTTAAGCCAACTCTCTATGCCTTCATAACAACATCATACAAAAACACCTCGCTATCATTCTTGATAACCATAATACTCATTTCATCAACTTTTATCCATAAATCTTCTTAGTTTTGTTATATCAAATTATCATAATTTATCTTCTCTATCTTTAAAAAAAACAATTAATTAGCAATGCAATTTGGTAGAAACCAACATCCCCAAATATACTATTGTACAAGGACCACAAACGCTCTCATCCAGAGATACCAATGACAGGAAATGAATAACCTAGGACACACAAAACTAGCACCACACACAAATGTGAAATAGAGCAGTATAAAACAAGTATACAGGTGAGAACGTCAATAAGTTTGTACTGTTGACATCCATATTTGCTCCACAAAAAAGTACATCGAAGATGGATGACAGATGCAACGTTATGCAAAATGAAGTCACTACTTCTCAATTGCAATCAAAATTATTCAGTCATCCCCAATTTTGCTAAACAAACTCCATCAATGCATTAGGAGCGTCAAAAATACCAAAGAAATGATCCCCCGCATTCACATCAACTGAGTAAAACAAGTGGAAAACAGCAAACACGACGCCATAGAATTATGGATTGCAATGCCTCGACCACAGTCAATATCATTTGAATGTCACTTTTTTCATAAAGCTGAATCCATCTACACGTTCAAAGGCCTAAAAATGCCCAAGAAAGACCTCTTATGTGACCATAAAGTTGCCTGAAAAAATTGACACAATACAGACGTGATGTCACACAAATATGTGAAATTGTCGTACGTTTCGCAACATATTTGAAACGCTGAAATTACCTACAACCATATTTGTGTGGCTCAATTGAAAATGACCTATGATCATAGAGCAAAAGAGCACAAATATCCACTATCAAATGAAAATAGAGATATACAAATAAAGGGGTGTACCAAGCATATATCTAATCCTCATGCTCGTGAAACTAATAAAGAGAGTAGAGAAGATATTACCAAACTTAGAGGAATCTTACTCAATAGAAAGCTAAAAGAGAACATAAGAGGAAGTTTTCTCTCACCAAATGATGAAGAAGCTATTTAGCTCCAATCAACCTCCCAAGCACTTTGTTTTCTTGTTCTAAGTTGCAAGTCTAAACGAAGGAGAAAAAAAAAGTTATTGCTCACTCGCGACTTGAAATTGGTTTGCTTGCTTATCCACACACTTCTAGAGCCGCCCAAACCAAATTATGGCCCACTTTAGTAATTAACAAAATGCAAATGCTATCTAATATAATTCCTAAAATAAATTTTCACAAAATACTAACCAGTATAAACTTTAGCTTAAAGTTGATCTTAGCATGCTTTAGTTCATAAAATGGTCAATGCCAGATATGGAAAAAGAAGGCAAACAAGTTGCTAATTCCTATATTTTCCTTTTGTTCATTATTATATTTACTACACATGCTAAAAAGGTGAGACAATTGTAGGAGTTTTATGCTTCATTGGAACGAGCAACATCATTTGTAATAAACAGCAGAGCAACAAACAATCAAGTTTTCCCTGTATGGTTTACTTTGTGCTTTGTTCTGGGAAAATACTAATAATTCAATATGAAATGACGGTTTGAACAAAAAAAATTACTAATGATACCAATTAACAGTTCCACAAGAGGCTTAGAAGATAAACTATAGTGTATGCACAAAAAGAAAGCATAAAAAGTGCATTAAACAAGATAGAGCTTACTCCATCATGCCCTTTCAATTTCAGGGAAGCATCATGGCTTTCCTTCATTTTTTTCCTAAAAGAAGAGCTGTTCTTTTCAGGCTTTGCAAGTATTTCTTCTTTCTTAGTGCTTTCATCCAATCCAGATATTTTTCGTTTCTTCTTGCGCTTTGGTGCCCAATTGCTATCCATCATCTTATCATCTAATGAATTTCCTTCCTTCATGTTAGACATGTCCGTGCTGTATGCATCACTAACAATTTAGACAAGGTGTGATTATATTAATCAACCAAACCTCTCTAACAAAAACAAAATTGAGTTACACAAAAACCAGAACAACTAGATGTATCTAAAGCATCGCGTAGAAAATTTGTGCAAAACCAAGCCTATAAAATAAGAAACAGAAACGAGGGAGTACACAATCCATTAAAAAAAAAGCATCGAAAAGCAAGATCTCTTCACCCCCGCATCCCTCCATCTCTTCCCCCCTCGCCACTCCGCCGGGGGGCTCTCCAGTAAATTCACACAATTCTTTCAGAGATTAAACCATCGATATCCATACCAATTAGTAGCCCCAATTCCAATTTCCTTGCACTGCCTCTCACACCAACCCTTAACATGGACCTTGCATCTACAGTTCAAAATCCGAATAAAAAAAACTAAAAAAAAAAAAAATAGGACGTTGATATAGAAGTTGAACAAATCAAGAGAGTTTAACTGTGCAGACCAAAACGTGTGAATCGGAACGTGAATCGGAACGCAATGAAAGAACATTAGCATCCTATGAAACGAGATACCGAAGCACTTAATCCATTACAAAAGAAAGCATCAAAAGCAACAGCGCTCACTAACAGCAGCCCCCAACTGCAACCAATTCCACCCAAGGAATCAAACCTTCAAAATCCAAACCAATTAATACCCCTGCTACAAATCTTCCAGCAGAAACAGACAACAGAAACCATAAATCCATCTAATAAACGGCGGGTCTCGGGACACAGATGGAAAACCCCAAAGGCCGGCCATGGAAATCAAAATTAAGCAACGAAACTGGACGGATAACACGAAACCTGAAGCGAGGAGACCGTCAAGGCCGGAGATGGGAAGCGATTCAATCGCGGCGGCGAGATCTCTTCTCCCCCGTCCCTAATCGCAAGCGGGTCTTGAGGCGGAGAAGGACAAGGAATAGCATCTTTTGCCCTCTCTCGCTATGGAAAAGGGTGTATAGGGATGAGAGAGAGAGAGAGAGAGACGCTGGGCGTGAGAGGGCGACCCGGCACTTCGCTAGGTGCGGCACCAATCACGGGATGCCACGTGGTGGGGGCAGGCAGCAGTCCTCCCTCGGCTCGCGGTCTCTTTTTACTTGCTGGCGGTGATGGATGTGGTTTCGATCGCCGTCGGCGAGCGGCCGCAGGCATGTGGTTTCGATCGCCGTCGGCGAGCGGCCGACGGCGGCGAGGAGTCCGATTGATTCGAATCGGAATCGAGTGGAGAGATCGAGATGCCATTTCTCCTCAAGCTTTTTTTTTTCGGGTTTTTTTTTTTGTTTTTTTTTTTTTTTTTTTTTGGAGTGAAAATAGAGTGATTTATAAAATCTCGTTAGGAATGTTATGGATGATTCCTTTTGCTGCGTTGTGGCGGGCTTTCACGTGTAGTTTTTTATTTTTATTTTTATTTTATTTTATTTTATTTTATTTTCGTTCTTGGGTTCCGAGTATGTGATGACTTGCTTTAGTTTAAAAAAATTATTTCATGCGGTGTTTGATCTCTTCCGTTGATTACACTAAAAATTTATTTTGGTGGACCCCACTTTAAAATTTTTTTTTATGAAATAAATTGATCACGGTGATCCATGGTGGAGATCAAACAGCGCATTCATCTATGCATACTCTGCCCGTATGAAATAATTTCTCCTCTAGTTGAGGTTTGAGTTTCCGGACATTTACATAAATATAATATAATTATGATATATTTATATATTTAATATTTAAATTTTCATATTTGTATTTATAATATTTAATATTTTAACATTACATCAAATATATTATAATTATTAATATTTTTAAATAAATTATATTTATGACATTAAAAAATTGTAAATGTAGATATTAAACTTTAGATGTTGAATGTGTAAATGCATAAAACTTGTGTGGTGTGTATGTAAATTTTCATTTAAAATTATAAATTATAATGAAATTGTTGTTAGATATTTAAAATTGTTTATATAAAAATGTAGTATGGCTTCATTAATAGAGATAAAGTCCCCATTTTTAAAATAAAATTTTAATTAAAGTTAAATATAATAACAAAACATTAGGATTATTTTTTAGAAAATTTTGACTATATATACCTCCTGGCTAATACTCAAATAATATGATTCTTTTGCCAGCCATAAAAAAATATAAATTTATCCTATAGTAAATTTTATAAAACATATTAAATATGCTTTTAAATGATTTCATGTATCCTATACATTTTAGGCAATTTAAACATCTTATGTTGATTGTTTCTTTTGTAATTGCATATCTGGATGATCTTCACTTAAATCATGGGGAAATCACGTTGACTTCAAAATATTAGAAGTTGTCTCATAATCGTTGACTCTCATAGTTAATTTCCTCTACATGATATCATGCATTGCACGACCATAGGCTAAAAAAGGTCAGTCAACTATCAGCGGTTTTTCCTTATCCTCCTTCCTGCTAGTATTAGGAAATCTATAGAGAATATGAATTTGTCCGACTTATCTATGCATGTGTCATATTCTGATTTGTCTGTGAATCTCAACCCAAAAAAAGAACGTAAGAAATGAGGGACGAGTGAACAGTAACGAACAATAATATGTCTTGTCTATTCTTCTATTTATAGGCAAGAGAGTATAATATAATGACATTACATTTTTGTCTCTGCTTTAATAAGGCTTGTACAAGATATTCTAAATATTTTACATATATGAGTTCATCACTCGGCTACTCTCTATAGTAGTTTGATAAGGTCGATTCGGTTAATCCACGTTGTCAATTGGGCGAACATGATTAGCTTCGGGTCGGCAAGATTGATTCGGTCTTCTAGGCTTTGTTGATCGATTGATCTAAGTTTGGTTGTCGACCTTCAATCTCTGAGCAAGGAGTTCCTTTTGGCGGGCAAGACTAGACTATCATATAGAGGATGAATCCTTGTAACTTGATGGTTAGTGCTCTCCTCAACAAAGAAAATCTATGGGTTGATCATAAGACTATTGTATTGTCATTTATTAGTCCCTGATGAGGTGCCTCAGTGGGGCTGGTGATTTTTAGAAACTAAGTCTTTCCTTGGGTCGGATATACCGGACGGTAGGTTAATGCTTCGGTTGGCTTTTTTTAAAGTGGTTAGCTCATATGTTTATCTGTCTTGTTTTAGTCGGATTAGTTCATATTTGAATCAACCGGTCATCCTTTTATCCTTTGAGCTTCTGGTTCGGTTGGCCTTCTACATTGGCTCGGACGACTACATTCGATCGGATAAGTAGGACTCTCGCTCTTCTGCTGGTAGGTCCTGCTTTGTCATGCTTTCTTCCTTCTATATTATTAGATCTCGGGATCAATGATCCACCTTAAAATTACTTATTTTTAGTGTATATTTTATAATCATTTTATGCATATTTTTAGTGATATTGCACTTTAAAAGAAGTTATTTTGTATGTTTTTTTTTGTTTCAGATACATGGAATGAATATTTGTAGAAATGAGAAAAAAATGAGCAAAAATGGTGTAATTTGTATGGTGTCATAGCGTCGTCCCCTGGAGCTATAGTGCCATAGACGCATGTAGTGGGTGCTATAATGTTCAGACTGACGTTATATCGCCAGTAACTTCCCTTCTAGAAGATCCGTTGAATTTGACTGAATTTTGAAGGGGTGTTTGAAGCAACCTTTTGTTATTTTTAGAGATATATTAATATGGATGAAAATTGGACAAAATAGAGAACTTTTTGGCAGCATTTGAAGGCTTTAGGAAGTCCCACTTTTGTGTTTATGTGTGTTTTGTGTTGCACGAGTAAGAGTTTGGAGAATTCATCAAGGAGACTCCATAATTTGTGTTGGGGAGAAGACATAAAATACTTTGTATTTGTGTTTAAGTTTTTGTTTCTAAGACTTGAATTTCAATACAAATTTGATGTTTTTTGTTTTATTCTCCATGAATTCTGAATATCCCTTTCTTTCTCCTTGCTCTTGGGAATTAATCTTGTGGGATGATCATGATTTAAAGATTTCTTTTTTACTTTTAAAAATTGTGATGACATTTTCACCGATTCTTCATTAACTTTACAAATTGGTCACTTGTTATGTTAATATTCGTTAAGAAACATAAAGACTCGTGAGAGTTATGATTTCACCCAACTAGTGAGTGTCACACTTCATTCTGAGTAGAGTCGTTGTAATCACCTAAGGAGTGCAAATAGATATGGAGATAATTTTTTATGTGCGTAGAATTGATGTTGCTAGGGTGACATATCATATTATTTTTTAAATTTGGTTTAGATTTTGAATCGTAAGGATCCCTAGTAAGTTCTATAGAGAAGGCACAGTGGATAATCTGTAGGTGAGAGCCTAGAATATACTCAACACTACTACACAAGCTGGTGAAAAACTCTAAATTAGCCAATATTATTTGCTAGCACCGGGAGGGGGTAAATAATAGAAATGATCATATTTGTCACAATACATCATCATATTTTAGTCATTCAAATCCTACATAGATTAATATCTCATTGCAACGGGAACGATCTTTACATATTATTCAAACTCGTTAGAATTATTTTTATTAAACTGTTAATTATAGTTGTTTCTGTATGCTTTAATTTAGTCTTAACAATTGCTATCATTTCTTTTTTATTTAATCTACAGTTTGAATAGAATTTGCTTCTGAGTTTTGTAAGCCAATTTAAAAGAGTTCAACTATCCTCGTGGGATCGATACTGGAGTTCTTAAATAAAATCTTATATTACTTGAAACGTACGTATACTTGCGCAGTACCTCTAGTGTGAAGTTTTATTATTTATTTTACATATATTTCATTTATTCACACTAGCCGCTGAATATAATTTGGGTCAAGTTTTTGACAATATTTTGAGTATTAAAAATACACGTAATTGCGGATCGGGTCAATCAATGCTCGCACATTTTTTATGTACATCATGAAAAAAAAGGGTATTTCAGGTTTAAAAGTTAAATTAACAGTATTTTTGGATTGCTATGAAAAATTTATGTGGAATAAATATAAAAACTAGTTTAAATATAAGACACATAGAAACATAAGAAATCGGTGGCATGTCGGTGAAAAGCTTTTTGCTTCGTTTTTTATTAGTTTAGTAGTGTTGAGAATTTAGTTGGGGCGTGACCTTATTCATCAAGTGCTGGGACGAACCGTATATATATATTCGAAAAGCTGTCTATTGAAATTTTATGAGATTTTGTTGACTGCTCTATTACGTCCATCAATAAAAATAGGCTAAAAGTACTTTATTTGTTTGGCCTAAATGCGTACCATAAGTACTAGAGCTTCATTAGTTGAAAAAATGAATGCTAATATAAAGCATATTTGCTATATATATATATATATATATATTATATATATTCAAATATGTTTTATATTGAGTCTGAGGCTATTATATGAGCTCCGGTCATTGCCCATGCACCTAAGAATTCGAGTACCACACCTTACACTCATCGAACCACAAATCAGAGGGGACTTACAACTGACAAGCAGATGTCAGACGAAAAAAATCACATTGATATTAATAATGTCTCGATCTGTGCCTAAATAGTTCTAAGTCAAGAACTGAAGCTAGGGTTGTCAAAATAAAAATGTTGATTACTTAGTGCTAGCATAAAACTTGCTAAGAAGCACATATTTGATTCATTTGTTAAATTAACGAGTTGATGTTGAAGAGCTATTTTGAGCTCAGTTTCTCAACGAACACAAATTGAAACATATTTGGTTATTTATTGTCTCATTATGAGCGTGTATAATTGTAATGATTTGTTCTCTGTTTATTTCTTTCGATTTATTTAAAATTAGTTTGTGTTCCACCTTAATTCAATATAGTCGAGCACAAATATAACCTTTACAAATTATTCGAACATAAGCTAAAATAATATATATATATATATATATATATATATATATAGACACACACACACACACACACACACACACACACACACACACACACACACACACACACACACACACACACACACACACACTGAAAGCATAACTAGAAATTTTGTGTGGCCATTCGAGGGATCAGACATCCTCTAATTCTCGCGTGCTTATATTTAAAGTTGTTCATCACCATCACGATTGATGCCTATATGATAAATTAGGGTTCAGACATCCTCTAATTCTCGAGTGCTTATT